TCTTCAATTGTAATATAGTACAGGTTTCCTATAATATAAAGACAAAAAAAAAAGTATTTTAAATGATAATTATTACTAAGGGAGCATAAAAATTTGCAAGGGGACAAAAAAGTGTCAACAGCACGCGGTGTTCCCAGGTGGTCACCCTCCCAAGTACTGACCGCGCCCGATGCTGCTTGACTTCGGTGATCGGACGAGAACCGGTACTTTCAGCATGGTATGGCCGTTGACGCTTACAAATAGCGAAATAAACAATATGTAAGTAACCCAAAATTCGAAGTTTTAGAGTATTACTTCATTTTGTGCACGTCTGTCATATACTTTTATCAATAAGAGGGGTTTTATTTCCGTCATAAGTACTTCCCATTGGAAAAGAGATTTCCCCCCCCCCAAGGGAAGAACAAGAAAAAAAAAAAAAAAAAAAATCAATAAATTAGAAATTTTAAAAAATGTGGCTCAAAACTATAATCCAGAATATCAGTAATATGAAATTGTAATAACAATAATTTGTATATATATGTATTATAATGAACCTTTTCTCTCCAAGATAGGCTGTATTAGAACGTTTCTCATTGGATGGAAATGAAAAGAATGAAATTCAATAAATATGCTGCATCCAATGTGCACTTTTTTTGGATTTTCGTTCATTCGAAGACTGTTAAAAATGCCTCCTCAAGCATCTGGGAAAGCTGTAAAGAAGGCCGGAAAGGCACAGAAAGCTGTCCGAGCTGGTGACAAGAAAAAGAGGAAGAAGCGCAGGAAGGAATCTTTCGCTATTTACATCTACAAAGTTTTGAAACAAGTTCACCCCTGACACTGGCATCTCGAGTAAGGCTATGTCTATCATGAATTCATTCGTTAATGACATCTTCGAAAGAATTGCAGCTGAATCTTCTCGCTTAGCTCATTACAACAAGAGGAGTACTATCACTAGCCGAGAAATACAAACTGCAGTACGTCTATTGTTGCCTGGTGAACTGGCAAAACATGCTGTTTCGGAAGGAACCAAAGCTGTCACCAAGTACACCAGCTCTAAGTAAATTTTCAAAGCTTTCCCCATCAAAAAAGGCCCTTTTCAGGGCCAGAATATGATAAAGGTTAGCTGTTACCTGCTTATCCTTAAATCACTCATTGTTCAATTTATAATTTCATATTGGCATTTTTAAAATTAATTCACACTCTTTGCAAAAGAAATTGATCATATATATTTCAGCTCTACAAGTCATCATCTTTATCCTCATTGCTCTGCATCCAATTTCTTATCTTCAAAATGAGGATCTAATACACACACAATAACCGAATAAGGAAAAATTGTACTTTAGCAGTTAGTCCCAGCTCACTTATATACACACTGCTTTCCGGAAATCAGCCTTAATACATTTCAATGCAGGTGGTTTTTCATAAGTTTGCTATTTATCAAAATGTATGCATATCAGTGTCATAGTTTTCAGGTGTACGTATCACGAATCGTTTCACTAGCTCAGTCACAGCCTTTCTCCGAGTAACTGGAACGAAAACATTCAATGGTATGCAAAGCATAGCAAGTGCTGGCGGGACAGGAAACTGGCTAGCCTGCCCAGACGGGACAGTGGTTAGCGAAGCTAACTGCCGGGCCGGAAGGCCCGGGTTCGAATCCCAAAGGGGGGCAGGAAGGAAGGAAGGTAGGGGGTGGGGTGGGGATATCATCTGGATGAAATTTCTTCTCCGCAAATAAATCATATTTTTTTTAATTAAAAAAAATTTAATTAAATATTTAAAAAATTCAGCTTTTGCCGGTTTATAAATAATAAACTATGATGCATCACAAAATGCTATCTTTTTGTCACTGCTTTGCTTTCATAAATCCTCGCATGTTTCGCAAACGGTTTGACCACAGCCTTTCTCCGAGCCTATCGAAAGAATACATTCAACAAAGGTAAGATATAAGGAACATTTCTTTCTCTTCGTGGCCACATTTATAATTTATAGACTTATTTTTCACATTTGCCGCATTAGAAAATACAGTCGTTTCCTCAGTTTCAGAACATATCATTTCCTTCGTTGCCACATTTATAATTTGTGGACTTACTTGTCGCATTAGAAAATACATTCGTCATCTCCTCATCGACTTCAAAAACTTTTCATTCACTTCGCTATCGCATTAGAAAATACAGTCGTTTTCCTCAGTTTTTCATTGATTCTACAACTTAATACAAATGTGACATTTCTGAAACCATTTTTCATTAAAAAAAAACCATATTTAAACAAAAACATTTTTATTGATTAAAAATACATATTTTGACAACATTTCATACCAACAAACATTGAACATTTCATGCCACAAATCCGATATTTCATACCACAAACAATAAAAAAAGAAACCGCTACCTATACTAAAAATACATATTTTAACAACATACAAATAGGTCACATTTCATTTCTTCTCTCTCTCTAAAGTGGAAATTGGGTTATTACTCAAATGCGAACCGATAATGATCACATCAATGAATCATCCTGCTGAATCCGCTCAGAACATGTATGTAATATGATTAATAAGACTACTCAGTTTTTCATGTGTTTCAATATTTTCAGTGTAATGCAGTTTCAGTCCATAACATTTATCTTTCATTCATGATCCAAAATTACAGTTTGTATCTTTCAACATGCATACCTTCAAAGACATTGATGCACTATCAAATAAATACAAAATTTTTTCATATACACAGCAAAGTATTCACATGTACATACATAGTAAAGTATTCAGGGTTTTCATATACATTGCAAATACGAAGTATACAAATAAAGATGACATCAAATAAATATTTTTAACATAAAAAAATATTTGAATACAAATGAAATACAAATACATAGCATGAAGATGCACTATATTAAGTGGAAGACTTCACCAAGCATTTAGAATTATGGGATATTATTTTTTTCACAAAACAATTCTTATTATAAACAATAAACATTTACACAACAGGAAAAAAAAATTACAAGACATTTCATACGAAAAACCTGGTCAGGCAAAACATAAACAATGAACACTAAGAAGGAAAAAATTGTTTTGGCAAATTGCTTTCATCATACAAATATTCATATTACTTATAGACAGCTATTAATATTCATATTACTTATTACAAATTCGAAAATATAATCTTAAATGAACTTACCTTCCAATAAAAACTATATTCTTTAGTTCAATATCCTACATTTGGTTGGAATTAAAACATCAAACATCACATGCACCATCTTGCTACACTTGTCTGACTTGATCTGACCATCTGACCACTTTATCAGCTGAGGGGTCACTTCAGGACAATAGCATTGTTTTGAGGAATGAATTCTATTGGATGTTTCCCACCCACAAACATATATTGAGGGATATTGTATTTCAATAGCTATTTATAGACAGTGTAAGTGGCAACAGTTTTATTTCCTCACTAAATGCCAACAGAGAGTGATGATTACAGTGCATTCCTGCAATATGTTTTGATTCTGTGTTATATTATGTGTGACTTGATTTAGTGTAGAAATAAAATGTATAAAACCTTTTGTTTGTCTTTTTTTTTCCCAACATTTATGTAACTAAGTATTTTCAATGAAAGACAGCCATACCTATAGCAACTTACTTGGATTTAGTTTAAAGAATTTAAATATATATATGCAGATCACAGCTATCTTCTCTGAAAAGTTATTGTTTTAACATTTTCGTAAATTGGCTAATGCATTGACAGGATTACTTAAAATTTATGAATTATTAATTTCAGTATCTGATCTTTGTGAACATTTAGTTCTAAATTACTTACTTTCCATCTTTACTGATAATTTTTCAGCAGCTAAATGCACGAAAATACTAGGCGTGTGTGATATGAATTGAAGAACTACCAAGTTCAGTCAATTAATCAGTGTACACACACATCAGAAACTTAACAATATTTATTCAATGAATACTACTTCACTGTTCCGAAAAATAGAGTTCAATAAATTAACTGAGAAATAAATTTAAGAGATTTCATATAAACAAATTCTGCCAAACTACCTCAGTGCAAGGCAAAAAATATAGGCAATTGAAGAAGATGGAAAACAAAAAAAAAAAAAAAAAAAAAAAAAAAAAAAAAAAAAAGAAGATTGCATTATATTTTCTTTTCTACAGCTCAATAACTGTTAAAAATGTCAAGAAATCAACTACGTTTTCGGTATGTACAGCACTTACAGCTTCTTTAGGGATTTTGGTTGTAACTGAGAAGGGTTTGAAGTGGATAGAGATGTTCCCCTGACTGGCTAATAGGTAGATTTCGATTTCGCTTCGGGTATCTTGGATGCAACCGGGATAGAACACTAAATTGGAATTGAAGGAGTTCTTAAATTCTCTTTTGGTTCACAATATATTCATTCTTGTGCAGATTTTTCTACAGCACTTGTGCTTACCTATTCTGGCGAAGAAATGTTGACCGTGTACTGTGTACCTTTTATACATTCATATTATTTAATTTTTTTTTTTTAAAGTAAGTATATATACATTTTTAATTTTTTTTTCGTATACACAACTAGTTACTCACTCTACTTGTAGTAGAGTGCATATATAGGTAGTAGTGCATATATACAGTGAAACTATATGTACAGTAGTAGTAGTAGTACAGTAGTAGTAGGAGTAGTATATACAGTGAAGTAGTAGGAGTGCATATATACAGTAGGAGTACAGTAGGAGTGCATATATACAGTGAAACTATATGCCAGAAGTTTGTATAATGAAGCATTTCGCTAGTTGAAAGAGAAGGAATAACCAGTAAAATTAAATGTATATAATATACATTAGTTTTAATAAGAATAATATTCTGTAATTATGAATACTTGGTCATGAAATGCTTTTACTCAGTACAGTAAAATTTGATATAACAGGTTTTAAATAATTTAGAGAAGAATCAAGAGGAATGACAATTCATGTTTCAACGATGAGTACGTAACAAATATTGCGAGGCTACGATTCTATTCGGATTCAAAACTCGGGAATCTGATTGGCCAGACATAATAAGTACAGAGTTGATAAAAATGTCTGTCCAGGACCGTCGCCAGTCATTATTTCGTATACCCCACAAATAATATCGTCATGTCTGGTCGTGGAAAAGGTGGCAAAGTAAAGGGGAAGAGCAAGACTCGGTCCAGTCGTGCTGGTCTTCAGTTTCCTGTAGGTCGTATCCATCGTCTTCTGCGAAAGGGAAATTATGCAGAAAGAGTTGGTGCTGGAGCTCCAGTGTATCTTGCTGCAGTTTTAGAATATTTGGCAGCTGAGGTTCTTGAGTTGGCCGGTAATGCTGCTAGAGATAACAAGAAGACCAGAATAATTCCAAGACATCTGCAGCTGGCCATCAGAAACGACGAGGAGTTGAATAAATTACTCTCTGGCGTCACAATTGCACAAGGTGGAGTTCTACCCAATATCCAGGCTGTTCTACTTCCCAAAAAAACCGAAAAGAAAGCATAATTCCTACTTCCCCTAACGCTTCAAAAAAAAAAAGGCCCTTTTAAGGGCCAGAAAATGTACGAAGAAGAGAATGCTTAATTGCTTATACTGAAAATTGCAGCATACGTTGGTAAATCTTTTCCATACATATATATTTCATTCAAAATTCGCACAAAGATGTGCTCCCAGGACACATTCGTATATATTTTCATGTACATTATAAAACATTAACTCATGGGACTCGGAAAGAAAGGCTAATGCTAAAGCTATAGGTGAAGGGAGTTTAAGGCGCATCTGAGAAGTGGCGCCATCTTGCTGTATACATTTGTACTGAAAAGTCGTTCTATTCTTAACTTTCGTAAGTTATTACAACAACGCATAGTTCGGTGTTTTAAGCCCCTTTCAGAAATTACAAATAATTTAATTAGATGGAATAATTGCTATCACAATAGATTTTATTTAAAAGAATGATCTAATGTAAAGTAAAAAAATTAATGTAAAAAAAAAGACGGAATACATGACAGCAATTATATTGAATCTTATTAAATTATTTGTATGGCCCTGAAAAGGGCCTTTTTTTTTTTTTTACTTTAACAAATTATGATTTTAAGCTCTCTCTCCTCGAATACGACGGGCCAGCTGAATGTCTTTAGGCATGATGGTGACTCTCTTGGCGTGAATAGCGCACAAGTTGGTATCTTCGAACAATCCTACGAGGTAAGCTTCGCTGGCTTCCTGAAGAGCCATAACTGCCGAGCTCTGAAATCGGAGATCGGTCTTAAAATCTTGAGCAATTTCTCTAACTAAGCGCTGGAAAGGCAATTTGCGGATAAGCAATTCCGTTGATTTCTGATAACGACGAATTTCTCTCAGAGCAACAGTACCTGGTCTGTAACGATGAGGTTTTTTAACACCTCGGTTGCTGGTGCGCTTTTACGTGCAGCTTTGGTGGCCAGCTGCTTCCTAGGAGCTTTACCTCCGGTACTTTTCCTTGCAGTCTGCTTTGTACGAGCCATATCGAGAGGTCACGATTTCGTTAAAACGAGAAAATGTGCCCGCGAAATTTAGACCTGGCCTATTTATCAATTTGTTTCCAATCACGTGACTAAGGAGACCTATTGCAGACGAAAGATTTCTAAGCGCCACCTAGCATTATTGTATAACATTAAAGTAACTCAGAAATTTGATTCATTTCTCTGCAAAACTGTGAGCGAGATGGCTGAAGAAACTGCTACTGTTTCCGCTACCC